GAACATACCCAACCGAGCACAAACATCGAAGAAGGGGGGGGGAGGGGGGAAGGTTCAATAACCCCCACCATCGACTTCCGACAACCGCCACCCCAACCGGAGGAGTTACGCAGAAAAAAAGAAAGAAAGAGAGAGGGAGAGAGAGAGAGAGAGAAAAAATCTATAGAGTCATTAAAAAAGGGAAGTGCATTGCGCACTTAAATGGCGCCAATTGAAATCGTACAATGACGGAATAATCCGTCCCACCAACAGAAAACCATCTACGACAAACAAAAAAGAAAACGACAATGTACACAAGACGACTCATCGACCCGATTGGATCACCACCCACTTTCGTCGCCACGACGGGGAATCGAGACACGGCGCGTCGACGACAGGCCGCACACGGCTGATTATACTACGGAAAGGCCCACACTTACGCGCCATCGACATCCATGGACGCCACAATGCACACAACGAAGGCGACACCAACTCTAACGCTCACGAATGACCTTCGCTATCTCTAACAGAGCATAGCACATCAGTTTGTTGACTTCGTCCGATGCTGCGTAGTGCTTTTTCTGCACTTCGACCTCCGCTTCCAACGCCTCGCATTGCCAGATTTGGATGGAGCATTGACGCTTATTGACACTCTCCATCGTCGACGCCATTAGCGCCCCGTGCTTCTCCATGCATTCTGTCATCGCTTGAAAAGTTTGCTGCCTCGTGCTCTTCCTCTTCCCGAAACCGCCTGGGCCACACGTCGTTTGAGAAGAACCTTTCGTTAACCCGTCATCATCGTCGTCCTGCCCTGCACCAGCGTCCCAATCGCCCACAGATTCAGGATCCGCAGAAGAGGTGGACGGCAGGCGCACACCACCTGGAGCACCGGTGTCGACGACGTTCTTGGGGTGTATGGTGTGGTTCTTGGCCGTGGACCCCACTGTCTCGTCGTAAACTGCCAATCCGTGTTCAAATTGAAGCCCTTGGACGTCCTCTCCTTCGCCGACAATTGGAAGAAGTCCTGTTTCCCGGACAAGCCATTGAAGTGATGCACCTTCTTGAATTGCTGCATCAAATTGTCTCACTTTTTCCCACACTTATCCGTATCTCTTTTGACGCTCACCTTCTTCAACCTTTGCGCCATATCTAACCACTTCCATTCTCGCGGCTTCATCCGAGCGTAGGCGTGACCCATCCCCTGCATGTGCGCATCCTGGTGATGTTTAGCCCTGATGAGGGCTACAATGTGTTCGACGAACCAAAAGTATCTACCTCTTTCCGCGTCACCGTCCCCCTCGACATCGCTCCCCTTCCCCGCCGCTTTTTTGCACCGATGACCATTGCGGGCAAACGTTTTCGTCTTCCCGCCACTGCCTCTCATGATGTCTTACCTCAATGGCGAAACATAGCCTTCGTCTTCCTCCCCACCCTCTCTGCCGTTGTCGTCGTCGTCGTGATCGTCCGCGTCCACAACCGGTGCCTCCTTTTCCTTTTCGTGCTCCCCCACATGCAGTCGCTGCAACCCCCGAGTTATGGATTCCTCGTGACCTAACTTGAGCTCTCGCCGGTGTTATGCCCACACCTCCCTCCTGTCACGTTCGTCATGAATATTGGCGAAGCCAGCATCCTTCTCCCCGCATTCGCCATGACGGCGGGCCTCAGTCGAACCGGTGGACAGGGGAGACGGAGACTGCATCTACGGGGGCCGAGTGGAGGCACCCCTCGACACAGACGGCGACCGAAATTGCTGCCTAGGAGGATCCCTGTTGTTCCCCGGCGCCTCCCAAGCCGACGCTGGAGACTTCGATGATCGCTCAACAGCCGTCACTCGCCCGCCGTCGTCGTCGGGGTGGGGACACACGACGACCTTTCACGAGGTGGCCGACGACCTCCCACTACAAAGCCCAAATGACAGATTCACGCCGCCATCGCCTTCGTCTCCGTTGAGCCCCTGCTGGAGGAGTTCGGTGTACAACTGTCGATACGCGCCGTCGCGGCTCCTGCATAGTTTTGTGGGCGCCCACTTCTGGGTGGACCCACTTCCCAGCGGCACGGTCCGCGACCGTGTGTCATTCGCCTCCTCGTCGGACGTATCAGGCAGAGGTTGCAAGTGCGGTGGTAAGTGCGCGTACCCAGACCGCTCCGACGGCCTTGAACTCCTCAACGGGGGTTGCCCAGCCCGCTGGCCACCGCCCTGCTCCCCCGCAGACCTGCAGATCGCCTGACACCCCTCCATCCGAACGTCCTTCGACGATTGCCGCCTTCTGCGCGCACGTCGTGGAACGGTACCGAGGATGCACACGTGGAACACAACTACTGCAACGACGAGCAAGAGGACGACCAGCACCAGCAACGGCAGCCTCCGGAAGACGTCGGCCATGAAAGGCACGTGGACGACGGCAACAGCTAGAAGACAACGGTGGATGCCGAGGAAACGGCGACGAACAGTGCTCCAAATGGTTGATCGCAGATATCGACAAACGAAGGGTAACGTATTCCGTCGCGAACGACACTGCGCAATCGGGAGAGCGGGGGCCGGCTGAAGTATTAGAAGTTGCCGACCGTTGGGCGTCTTCCCGCTCGAGGCCAAGGGCACCGACACAATACAACCCCTTCTCGACGTCTTGGAGGCCGGCAGGCTGCCAACGGTGACCGTTGGCGGACAATTCCATGACGCCGAACATTGCCGACCGAAGATGTCCGTTAACAGGCCGCCAGGAACAGAAATGGACCAGCTGAGTTCGAGATTTGTCATCGAGAGGCCTGCCGTCGGCGCCCCCGATTCTTCCGGATGCTCAATCTCCGAGGGACCTCGGGAGGTCCCTTTGGGAACGCGTCGAAATGGCTGTAGCCCGAGGAATCCCGGAGGAATCCCCGAGGAATCCCTGACGAATCCCCGAGGAAATGTTTTCACAATTTATTTTCAATTTCTTCCCCGAGGATAAGTGGAATGATGAATTCCTCGGGGGATTTATGCGCCCTAGGACTGTCTAACGAGCCCCTTTCTATTTTCTTTTCCCGCCTCCCATTCTTGGGAACTGGAAAAAAAAAAAGCAAAAAAAAAAAAACAAAAACACCACTTCAGAATATAAATCCCTCGCAATTTCGCTGCCATCCAATTCTCCCCCATCAGTGGTCGGACCATGTCCCGCAGATGTCCCAAAGGTGTTTGTGGGACACAGTTTTTTTTTAATTTTTTTTAAAGGCTTCAATTACCTGTCAAATCTGGACAGGACGGCCTTTCAGGCCTTTTTTTATTTTTTATTGTCATTATATATATATATATATATATATATATATTTCTATACTCTTCTCTCAACTTCTGTTTCTTTACCTTCCACTACCTACTCGTAAGGCTATCTAGAGGGGACCCCTGCAAGCATAGTTTCCTCGCTCTGTGAAGGGGAGATTTCATGTTGGTATTACGCTCTCTGATATTACACTCTCTGATATTACAAAATGAGAAAGAGACCGGGGGCAAGGTTCCACTTGCACGGAGGAGGAAGCGTCGTTGAAGAGGAGGACGCTGAGGCGGACGGGGGGAGGCATCCGAATCGAAGAGGGGGGAATTGAAGCTCCTGTAGAAAGACGACGTGGAAGAGGCCGCTCAAGAGCCGACGACGTCATGGACGTGGAAGCCGCAGCGGCATCGAGGGAGGGCTTGGCAGTTGGCATCGTACAACCGCATCGCGCGGCCGTTCCACGTTTCAACGATGCCCCGGACGCGCAAGAGTCTGCGGTCTGCGCACGAACACCAACAACCCCGCAACAGCGGACTCGGACGGCTGCAGACATTGCAGGTGGTTCACAAGCGGTCGCTCAAGGGAACAAGAACCATTCTCCTGCACAGGAGGTGCAAGGGGCCGCTGTGGGGGGAGCTTTACATGCGAGGCATGTTGCGAGGGCAGGGGATGTCGTCGGAGAGGGGGAGGATGATGAAGCGCTGGTGAACAGGGTGCAGCGGCGGAATACACGGGATGGAATGGAGGCGGTGTCGAAGCTGTGGGTAGATGACTTGTGCTTCTGGAACGAAACCGAAGGAAACACCATAGTCAAGTTGATACAGGAAGCACACTTGTATCTTGTGGCGGTGGCGCGGGGAGTGCAGCCTCCGGCCGTTCGTCGAAGCATCGTTTTGCCTCATACCACCATCCCGCAACACAAAATCAAGGACGAAACAGAGTTCAACGTTGCGAAGGAGAGGGCGTTCAAGGTGCAGACCATCACTTTGCGAGTGATCCACGGACCACGGGTGGGTCTTCAAGTCGACGAACAGGCAACGGGGGTACCATGTTGCATACGGGTATGCATTCAACCACGCGGCCACTGACATCGCTCACGCCATGTGGATGCGGGAGGACTGGCGTATATATGTGAGCCCCATGGTCTTTCACATTATGCTGGATATGGATATGAAGTTGCCACTGTGGTTCATTGGCGCCGACATCGAAGACAAGCACGAGAACGACGACTTGGCGGCGTATCAGGAGGCGAGCATCCTGCGACTGGTGGGGACTTTCACTAGCGCCGTGAGCATGGCGGAAGGGATCGATGGCGGGCGGGTGTCGTATAAAAGGTTGAAGAGCGTTGCGGACATGATGAGGATAATGCTCACGGCGACCATGTGGTTCATGCGGATGAGCGGGGACGATCATCGCGCGCACTACGACACGTGGGTTTTCATCCAACTCACAGCGAAGCCAATGCTCGTGGCATCCATGCATTGTTCATTCGATGCGCGTCGCCATATCCTGCAAGCTGCTACCGTCATCACGGACAAGTTGGCGAGACCCCTCATGACTTTGGTAGACCCTCCGTTGTACATCCCTGACTTGACGTCGGCGGGGGGGGTTGATGAAGCGTTCGTGGCGACGGTCTTCGACGTGGCCGTCGAAGAATTTCTGGAGTTTTCTAAGACGGGCGCGTAGTGGACACGGTCATCGCATGGTGGGATATGGTGGTCATCATTTGTCCTGGAGAGATGGTTAAGTGGGATTCGGGGGGGGGGGGGGGGGGGGCAGTGGGGTGGGTGGTTGTGAGGGGGGTGATCGATCATGGGAGGGGACATTCTCGTGTTGCGGGTCGTTGCTGTGGCGGATCGATTGTCATAGGGGTGTTTCATGAACCTTTCCTTATTTTTTGTTTCGGAAATGGATCATCCATTGTGTCATCTGTTGAAGCGAACATCTAATTCTTCAACTTTATTCATGAATTCTACAGCTTTGCGGTGCTTGTTTTTTTTCCGATTTCATTCGAATTTCTATATGTTATGGTCAGGGGCATGGAAAGGGGTAAGGGCTGCTTTCTTGAACCGATGGATGATCAGAAAATGAGGGGTGTTCATAGGAGTCTTTGGGAAGTCGATACAAACAATGACGACAATGCAAATGTAAGAAGGAGTGAAGGCAATACAAATGACACATACAATGTTGTGCAAATATTGTCGTTTCAATCGGTGCCGAATAAGAGGAGAAGCCACGCAACAGAAATAAGTCACATGAAATGTTGTTAAATTGATGAAGATGTGGGTGCAGTCGATGCACCCATGGCAGTTAGAAAAACCCTTGTCGCCGAAAGCGAGCAAGACGACCGCCTTTTGCAGCCCCGTCGGCCAGGATATCTTGTTAGGGTTCGCACTCAACAACGCGGCAATTACATCCCGCATAACCACCAACCCAGAACATCTGCCAATGCCGAAGCTGCATGTCCCGCTCTCGTACGTTTCCCCCGACACCCACTTGTACAAAGCGTACGCGACAATGTGGTCAGGCTGGAGGGGCTCCCTGTAGAAAGTGACACACTGTTGAAGGAAGGGAAACAGAGCTTCCACGATCTCTCGGAACACACGTGGCGACATGCGCAGCTTCTCCTTGAAGTAGTCGGTCGTCACATCGTCGCAATGTCGCAGATCCTCCCACGTCCCCCCTGTCCTTCGCTTCATCCGCCACTTGGGCGTCCTCAGGGAAAAACTCCACACCCCATGGCGTAGCACACTTGCAGCATGGCGTCGCAAATGGCAGCAGTGTCGAAGCCGTCCACATTCATGGACTGCAGCATCCTCTTCCGCCGTGCACGAACCGCTGCTTTCATCCTCCCCTCGCTCCTCTCTATTTGACACCGGAAGAGGATGGCGTTCACGGCTGCTGCCACCGCCTCCTCTCCGCCGTGCTCAGTGTATCACAGCCCGCCTCCCCACTCATATCCATCGCTGAAACTGGTACTGTCGACATGGACATCGCCAAGAACACAAGACTCCACGAGCGCTGGGGGGCACTACATCGACGGTGCGAGTGACGACCGGAGTGCACGGCGTAGACGTCGACGACGAAGGTGTGCCTGTGAAGACGATAACGGTGATGATCGTGTGACGGCGTGTTTGCTGCTTCGGATGTGCAGATGTACGTTCGGCCTGCCCGCCGACACGCAGATAGCACCCCGCCCCCACACGCTTCCGGCGAGGAACGTTGATGCCGACATTTCCTCGGGGACGCCCACGCTGACGTCACCTGCTTGCCGAAATTCGAATTTCGAAATTCGAATCCGGGACTGCGCGCCTTTTCCAATGCCGTGTTTTTTTTTTGAACACCGCCGACTTTCGAATTCAAGACACCCACCCGAACTGGACCAACGATGTCGGCACAAACACACCTCGCTGGACCAACCC